ACTGTGTGATGCTTGTCTGTCCAGGCCGAGTACAACAGGAGATCGATGAAGTGATAGGGCAGGTGCGGCGACCAGAAATGAGTGACCAGACCCATATGCCCTTCACCACCGCCGTGATTCACGAGGTGCAGCGCTTTGGGGACATCGCTCCCCTGGGCGTGCCCCACATGACATCCCGAGACATCGAAGTGCAGGGCTTCCTGATCCCCAAGGTAAGATTGCCAGCTGGGGCCAGGCTGGGAACCCAGGCCATCCAGTCCTCCATTCCACAGGCACTGATTGCCCCAGCCTGGGTGTGGAGCAGAGCAGAAGCACAGCTGCCCTGTCCGTGGGGCGCCCTGGTCTTCAGGGATGACAAACTAGAAACTGCCCCAGAGTTTTTGAAGATCCATGCCTGCAGGAATAGGGGCCTGGAAGGCACTAATAGGAGGCGAGACTCAGCTATACTAGGTGTCAGAGGGTGCCAAGAAGCTTCTTGGACTGAGCGTTACTTTTAAGCATCCATGTGTGTGCCAGTCAGAATGTGTGCCTGTGTGTTTGGTGGCAACTGTCCCAGCATCCTGAAGCCTAGTCACCACTCACACTAGGTGTCTCCTGCCCAGGGGACACTTCTCCTCACCAACCTGTCATCAGTTCTGAAGGACGAGACAGTCTGGGAGAAGCCCTTCCGCTTCCACCCTGAGCACTTCCTGGACGCCCAGGGTCGCTTCATGAAGCCAGAGGCCTTCATGCCTTTCTCTGCAGGTGCCTGGGGGCTGCCTAGCTCCTTGTCCCCTCCCATGCACCTAGAGAGGCAGAGCCCAGGGCCCAGGCTCACTGAGCCCCCTTCCCACCCACAGGCCGCCGTGCATGCCTGGGGGAGCCGCTGGCCCGCATGGAGCTCTTCCTCTTCTTCACTTGCCTCCTGCAGCGCTTTAGCTTCTCGGTGCCTCCCGAACACTCCCCGCCCAGCGACCATGGTGTCTTTGCCTTCCTGGTTAGCCCTGTCCCTTACCAGCTTTGTGCTGTGCCCCGCTAGACAGGGACACCAAGTCTGCAAACTGTTCCCCAGCCAGGGACCCTGACGTGCAATAAACCAATGTGCTTACCCCAACCTGGACCCCTGACCAGCCCCTCACTGCCATGGGGCCTCACAGCCTCTCTGGGACAGCACACCCCTACCTTATCTGTGCTTCCCTGATGACCACCTGGCCTCATCTGTGAGAAGGGTTTGTTGAGGTTCAGAGGATGTCACAGCCTGTCAGTAACTCTAGGGCACCCGCTCACCCCCGATCAACTCTGTCTGCCCCGACTGGTGACAAGGACTACCTGATCCTAGCTTCTGAAGAAGTTGCCAGACTGGGCCACAGAGAGGCAGCAGTCAGGACACTGGGAACAGCCTGGAGAACCACACTGGAGTCCCTACTGCACCCACCCCACATGGGCCAGCTGCCTTGCAGGCACCACCCACAGTTCATTTCACATTCAACACCCCTAAGAGGGCAGAGAAATCCAGAAAGCACCGAGCCAAGGTGACCACTCATGCCTCAAACATCAGGTGCCAGAACGTTCCCTGGGAAGGCCTGATGGAAGACCAGGAGGGAGCCACCTCCCTGAGCCTCTCAGTCACCCAAGAAAAGAATGACCACCTGCCCCTAGCCCTCAGGGATGCTGTGTCCAGGCCCCTGACCAGTGAGGAGTCACCACTGCGAACCAGACAGGAGATGAAGCAGGACACTGTCTGAGCTCCAAGCCAGGGTGCCATCCTCAGAGTGTCTGTGCCAGGCAGGAGTCACAGGCTTGGCCAGGCCAGGGAGTGAGCGTGTGGGCTTCAGGCCTGCCCAGGGACAGGGGGCTACTTTCAACCCATGTGGCACTCGGGTGGGCAGAGGAGAAGGAGATGGCATGGCCAGCTGAGAGGATGAGACCCTGGCTCTGGTCCTTGCTCTGCCACTTCCCTGAGTGACCGTGGCTCCTCCCGCCTTGCCCTGGGCCTCTGTTCCCCTTCTGCCAGTGGGAAAGTTGCACCAGGTGGCCACCGAGTCCTGTCTTCCTTCTCTGACTTCTGGAGTAATGACCCTTGTAGGCCTCAAGTCCCCTCAAAAAACAGAGACTGCTGTCCTCTCCCTCTGTGCCCATCCTCCAAAACGGCTGGGTGGACAGGATACACAGGAATCCATGATGTCTAATGACCATCTGCTTCCCTGCATCCTGGTGGTCATTAGGAAACAGCCTTGAACAGAAACAGCACACTCAGAGCAGGAGCCACCCAAAGTCATCTTTGAACTGAGGACAGGACCCCCAGATGGCATCCCTGAGTGGTTTACACCACTATTTTGTTTGTTTGTTTTTTGAGACAGAATCTCACCTTGTTGCCCTTGGTAGAGTGCCATGGTGTCACAGCTCACAGTGACCTCAAACTGTTGGGCTTAAGCCATTCTCTTGCCTCAGCCTCCTGAGTAGCTGGGATTACAGGCACCCACCACAAAGCCTGGCTATTTTTGGAGACGGGGTCTTGCTCTTGTTCAGACAGGTATGAGCCACTGTGCCTGGCCTTACACCACCACCCTTTTCATTAATGCCCATGTGACAGGGACCTGCCCAGCTCTTAGCACTATAGGGACCTTAGTCTGTCTCCTGCCTCTGAGTCAGAAAGCTGGCCAGGCCAGAGTGGTGTCCCTGAAGCTGTGTGACAGGGAGTGTGCATGGCCCCAGCTGGGTTGTCTGAGGAGACAGACCCTGACAGGAGGCAGCGGGCCTACAGAAGCAGCAGCTCACAGATTCACTGGGCGCTTCTCACTCATTTTCTGAGTCTCGGGGTTGTCTGAGGCTGGGACCAAGCTCTGCCACAGCTTCCTCAGGAGCGGGGGGGACCCAGCTCCTGGGCCTCTGCTCCTTGCTGTCAATCTCGGGGGCCTCTAGGAACCACACACAGGCATGCCCTCTGGGGTCCCTGCTGAGAGGAAACTTCTCCCAGGGATGAAGTCTCCACCTCGGCTGCCTGGGGGCCAGATCAGCTGTGATAACAGGGTTAGGTGTACAGGCAGCTAAGGGGTGACCCACGGTTCCTGCCAACCCCAGGAGGCTCACAGGAGCGTCCAGGCATCTGGCTACCTGGGCTTCCTCTCTCCCCTCCCCAGGTCAGGAATGTCTAATGGGGCTGGACTCTGTGACTCCAGCAGTCACTGGGGTAAGAGGAAGTCTTCCCTGGGCCGTAAGGCTTGGCCAACAGTCCTACCAGTTTAATATGCAGCAACGTCCTTTTGGACCTTTTAATTTTTTTGGAAGTAAGAAGAGGGGTGTAGCAGTGGGGTGAGGCAGGTTCCATGTTGAACAGTTGGGGAAACAGAGGCTCTCTGCTCCACAAGAAGCTGGGCGAGGTCAGGCCAGACCCACTCCCTGCTCATACCTCATCTGCTGCCTCTCAGCTGCAGGCAGAGCTCCTTGTGCTGCTGGAGTGGCAGCTGAGCCTGCTAGGCTTGGGCTTGCAGCAGCCCCCACTGCCTCCCCACCATGCAGTGATCCATAGCTTCTCCTTGACTGGAAAGTGGAGACTCCAGAGTAACCTTACCTGCCAGCCTGGGGTCCCTGCCACCTCTTCTTCAGCAGGAATAGGGCTAGCTGCTTCCTCCACTGGGGATCTCATGCTTCCTCCTGAGACAAGATGTCAGCTTCCTCCTTAGGGGCAACTTCCTTTAGTCCTCCAGGTGCCCTGGGGGTTATGGCCTACAGGAGGAACTATGAGCAGAAAGGCTTCAGAACACCCCATCCCTCCTCCTTCCTGTTCTCACCTTTGGGTTCCTTTGTCTTTCCTGGAAGTCCTTTCCTTCTCAGTGAAGCTGTGGTGGCTTTGTGAGTTTCCTGGAGGGGTCTGCCACTATCCCTGGGAATTCCTGCCATGTCCCTGGGTCTCCTGGAGCTCTGACAGCAGTCAACCCCAGACCCTTCCAGGGGAGGCTTCACTTGCCTCTGAGGTTGGCTTTTTCTCACTCTTGACTTTGTGCCTCTGCAGAGGGAAATAGGAGGGTTGGACAGCCAGCTATGACTGACTGGGTGACTGGGAGTCCTTCCCTGAAGTAAAAATCTGTCCTCTTCAGGTATAGTCTTCCTCACTGTGTCTGCCAGGGTGCCCTGGGCAGCCACCCCTCTACAGGGGAAGAGAATTTCTCAGCCCCTCACCCATCTGAGTGGTCATAGGGAAACATTTATTCATCAGCCCCCACACTGGGTATAATATCTGCCCTATGGTCAGCAGGACAAAGAGGAGGAAGGGTGAGGTGAGACCTCCTGCTGATGGCAAACACCTTAAGAATACCAGGTATTTAAGGAAAACCTCTTTGAAAAACCTTTTTTAAATTAAATTTTATTTTATTAATTAATTAATTTGTTTATTTATTGTGAGACAGTCTTATTCTGTAGATTACTGTGGCATCATCATAGCTCACCACAACCTCAAACTCTTGGGTTCAAGCGATCCTCTTGCCTCAGCCTCCTGAGTAGCTGGGGCTACAGCACCTACAACAATGCTCAGCTAGATTTTTTATTTTTTAGAGATAAGGTCTCACTTTGTCACCCCAAGCTGGAGTGCAGTGGCCTGACGATAGCTCACTGCAACCTCAAATTCCTGGGCTCAAACAATCCTTCCCTACCTCAGCCCCCTGAGTAGCTGGGAATACAGGTGGCTCACTACCACACTCAGCTAATTTTTAATTTTTTTTAGAGATGAGGTCTCACTCTGTTGCCCAGGCTTGTTTCAAATTCTTGGCCTCAAGCGGTCCTCCCACCCTGGCCACCCAAAGTGCTGGGTTACAGGAGGGAGCCACCAGGTCCAGCCTAAAAATCTTTTTAAAAGCTATAATTTAGGGCTGGGCACTGTGTGGGTCATGCCTGTAATCCTAGTACTCTGAGAGGCCAAGGCAGGTAGATTGCTTGAACTCACGAGTTCAAGATCAGCCTGAGCAATAGTGAGACCCCTGTCTCTACTAAAAAATAGAAAAAAAAAAAAAACTGAGGCAAGAGGATTGCTTGAGCCCAAGACTTGGAGGTTGCTGTGAGCTATGACACCACACACTCTACCTAGGGTGACAGCTTGAGACTCTGTCTCAAAACAAAACAAAAAAGTATGATTTTAAAATAATGAAAAAATTTAAAAATTAAAAAAGACTATAACTGATGTCTTTAGAAAGATAAAACTTTGCAAACATGCAAGAAGAGACTCTACTGTTAAGGTGAAAGAGAAGCAAGCCTAACTCCATTTTGTTATAATTCTTCTTCCTGAGAATTAGTGAGACACAAAGTAGGCCTGATTCCATTCTGTTGTTTTGTTACATTTTATTGCTTTAAAAAAAACGTTCCACTTGCTCCCCACCCATTGCTAAGGCAAGAGAATCACTTAAGCCCAAGAGTTTGAGGTTGCTGTGAGCTGTGATGCCACAGCACTCTACCAAGGGCAACAAAGTAAGACCCTCTCTCAAACAACAACAACAAATCTTAAAAATGAAAATTTGGCTAATTTTAAAGAAAGGTAAGAAGGAAAGTTGAACTCAGTGATCTTCAAGGCATCTGCCTATATGTGCATTCCTGGGGGCTCCCCCAATCTCTGAATAGTCAACTCCATAAGATATAGCCCCCAGCTTCTCACTGTTGCCACTTCATGAACAGCCTTGTTTCCATGACAACCTCATTTCCCAGTAACACTGGACAGGGAGCGGGAAGCCTCCAGAAGCCAGTATGTGGCTCTGTCCTGTCATGTTGGGTGGCCAGTCTAGTCACTGTCCCTCTTGGAGCCTAATTTTCCTCATCTATAAATGCTGCTGGGCTGCTGTGAGGGCTCAGTGACAAGGCAGACGTCCAGCCCCTCACTCACTGCACAGCTTCTAGTGGGCATCTCACATCTGTTGTATTCTGACCCAGGACTGGGAGCAAGAGCTTCTGCCATAGGTACTTGGACCTAGAACATCAAGGAGGCTATACAACCTCAGGCAAGTGTCCTGGCCACCTCCGCCTCATTCACAGATGAGTGTTGAACCGCCTTCCAGAGCCACTCACATGCACTGGGGATTATCTGTTCCCTTCTGTTTGGGCCACTATCCATGGAGACCTGAGGTGACCATATAGCCCACCCATGAGAGGGGCCCTCTGTTTTGACCCTTTGCCAGAAACAGGGGATTTCTCCAGAGCCCTCAAATTCACATATTTCTGTATCTAATCTATATCCATATCCATATTTCTATCTCTATATACATACACATATCTATAGGTGGTTGACCATTTGGTCAGGACCCCTATTTGGGCTCAAGTGAGACCGTCCTAGCCTCCAGAGGCTGACAGCCAGAGGTTCCTACCTGTGATTATTCCCCAGAGATTTCATAGTCAAGGGCTGTTTCCCCCATAGACTCCTGGTAGTATAAGAATCCTTTGAGCTATGATGCCACAACACTCAAGGCTGGGCAACAGAGTGAGACTCTGTCTCAAAAAAAAAAAAAAAAAAGGAAAGTAAATGATCAGCACGCATACATACTATAGTAGTAAAAAGTAAAATTCCATGGAAATCAAGCAGGTATGTGTGGAAGGGAGGAGGACTGGGTAAATTCACACTTAACTGGCAAAATGCACACTATTTGGGAGATAGACACGATTATAACCTTGACTCAAACTGTTCAAAAAAGCATGTAACCAAAACATCTGTACCCCTATAACATTGTGAAATTAAAAAACGAAAAAAAAAAAAAAAACTGGGCTGCTGTTCCTGGAAATCAGGAATTGGGATACTCATGCTCTTGTCTAAAATGAGGCTGATGCTATAACTCACTGGGGTTATAACTCACTCGCGCTAAGGAAGAGCTGGTTCCTAAGAAGGGGAAAATACGAACATGTATTATATATAGCATATACACACATACACCCTTGTGCAGAAAAGCCGCCGAGGGGCTGGGCCAGCGCCATCACAGCCCACGCGCCATCATTGGCCTCAGCTGTCACCTCGGGGGCTTGCGGCCCGCGCTCAGGGAACTAGTCCAGAAGTTCTTGGGCCCTCTACGCCCAAGGGCTCTACCTAAGAGCACCACAGGCAGCTGCACTACTAAACTGTAAGTCCGGCCTCCGATGCCAGCTCCTCGCCTAGCGGCCAGCCTGGGGCCCACCCGCCCCCTGGCGGTGCCATCGGCTCCTCGGAGCGACAGGTAGACTGTCCCACCACCTAGGGGGCTGTTACTGCAGATGAGAAGCGAAGCCCCCACCAGCTGGTCTCCCACTACCAGCGAGAGACTTCCTAGCCAATCCGAGAGTCCCAGGGCCGTCCATCTGCCACCCGGAGCATAGGGGCGTGGCGTTCCATTTTAGCCAATGATAAGAGACATTCGCCCTCCGCCGCACGCGCGGCTTGGGGAAGTGGGTGGGGCTGGAGGTGGTTTCTCTAGCAAGATGGCGGCGAGCGGCCTCCGCAGTGCTGTAGCTGCGACCAGCACCTCCGTGAAGCCCATTTTCAGTCGAGACATGAGCGAGGCCAAGCGGAGGGTACGCGAACTCTACCGCGCCTGGTATCGGGAGGTACCGAACACTGGTGAGAGGCAGCGGTGCACGTGGGTCCCCTGAGGCAGCCGCCCAAGGTCGCAGCCGACTGGGCCCGCTTTTGTCTCGGGCCGAGCTGAGGTTACTAACTTGGGCAGAGGCTACTTCGGGTGCTTCAGGGGAAGAGCGTAACGCGAGCGTTATGCTGAAACTGACACTTGGCGGCAAGTGCTGGGGTTCATACAAGCATCCGTACAGTCCTCGGCCTTTTGGTGTCTTTGGTCCCCCATAATTCTTACAGAGGACAGAGGACTGTCAATGACATACTCATTTTGTAGGTGAGGCAGCTGAGGCCCCGAGAGGCGAAGTGATGTGCTCAAAGCCCAGATTAGCCTCGTGGATGTGAAACAAAGTCTGGAGTTCAGAATGTATTTACAGACGCCCGGTAGGTTTTATAACCCAAGTGGCTATAAGATGTCAGCAATCGTCTAGTCCAAGGGTCCTCAAACTTTTTAAACAGAGGGCCAGTTCACTGTCCCGGCAGCAAAATCACCCGGCGGGCCGGATATATGTCCTAGGCGGGCTGCATGTGGCCCCCGGGCCGTAGTTTGAGGACGCCTGGTCTAGTCCCTACACAACACTACCACCCTATCGGGAAAGAAACTGAACCAGAGACGGGAAGTGACTTTACCAAGGTCGTCTAGTAAGTTGGTGGTGCCTTTTCGTTCCCTGCCTCCCAAACCTTGCTTCTTAGCTCTACCTGCTTTCTCTGGCTGGTCTGCCCCCTACTATCTCAGAACCCCTACCTTCACTTAGATGGCATAAAACTAGTCTGTTCACCTGAAAGATTAGTACCTAACCTCCCAGGATGCAGAGACTGTGGGGTTTTTCTTGTTTTTTGTTTTTTTTTTGAGACAAGAGTCTTAAGCTGTCGCCCTCAGTAGAGTGCTGTGGCCACAGCAACCTCAAACTCTTGGGCTTAAATGATTCTCTTGCCTCCGTGTCCCAAGTAGCTGGGAATACAGGCGCCCACCACAATGCCTGGCTATTTTTTGTTGTAGTTATCATTGTTGTTTAGCTGGCCCCAGGTGGCTTTTGAACCTGCCAGCCTCGGTGTATGTGGCTGGCTGGCACCATAACCACTGTGCACAGGTGCTAAGCCAAGAGTGTTTTCTTTCTTTTTTTTATTTTGAGCCAGAGCCTTAAGCTGTTGCCCTGGGTAGAGTGCCGTGGCATCACATCTCACAGCAACCTCCAACTCCTGGGCTTAAGCAATTCTCTTGCCTCAGCCTCCCAGGTAGCTGGGACTACAGGTGCCTGCCACAACACCAGCTATTTTTTGGTTGTAGTTGTCATTGTTTGGCAGGCCCGGGCTGGATTCGAACCCACCAGATCTGGTGTATGTGGCTGGCACCTTAGCCGCTTGAGCTACAGGTGCCAAGCCACTGAGAGTGTTTTCTTATCTTGGTTATCTCCTTCAGTTCTTCCCACTGTACTGGATAAGAGAGAGGCTGGGAAAATCTCATCTAAATTACAAGGGCAATATAATTGTCAGGGACTGTGGCTGTTATTTTCTTGTTTTTGTTTTGGAGACAGTCTCACTCTGTTGCCCAGTCTAGAGTGCCTTGGGGTTAGCTCATAGCAACCTCAAACTCCTGGGTTCAAGTGATCCTCCTGCCTCAGCCTCCTGAGTAGCAGAGACTACAGGGACCTGCCAGTGCCCAGCTACAATTTTATTTTTGTGATTTAACTTAGTGTGTTTTGGGGTGGGGAACACCAAACACAGAACATCAGAACACCTCTGATTTCAGTCAAGGTTGTTCTTTTGTAAGCACCAAAGGAGGTAAGAAAAGCTTCATCTTTCTCTGCTGCACTTATTATAATAAAAGGATTGGTTATGTAAAAATTGGATTCAGTCAAAAGGCTGCACTTAAGGACCAGGAAGGCCACAGTTTTCTTAAGGCTGTAGGTTCCCCACCCCAGCCCCTGCGAGCATCTCTCATGGCTGCTACTTCCCTACCTGTATGTGACAGGCAGTGGAATGTGGTGCTTAGGAACATGAACTTTTCTCCAGGCTCTCTTTTTTTTGAGACAGAGCCTCAAGCTGTCCCCCTGGGTAGAGTGCCATGGCATCACAGCTCACAGCAACCTCCAACTCCTGGGCTCAAGCGAGTCTCCTGCCTCAGCCTCCCAAGTAGCTGGGACCACAGGTGCCTGCCACAACACCTGGCTATTTTTTGGTTGCAGCCATCATTGTTGTTTGGTGGGCCCAGGCTGGATTCGAACCCACCACCTTAGGTGTATGTGGCTGGCCCCTTAGCCACTCGAGCCACAGTTGCCGAGCCTGCTTTATTGTTGTTTATAGGCCTTTACCCTAGCAGGAGTCCATGTAGAGCGCACTTATTTTATGTGTGAGAACTATGTCTGCTCATAGAGTCCTGTTCTCAAGCTGACTTTTTCAAAATTTGCTAGTGACCAGAAGAACTTGATCTGTTGGTTGAGGGACTGTACATTCAAATACCTTCAGGGGATGAGCACATAGCAGGTGTGTGTGGTTGTGATGGTGATGACAGTAGTTAAGTTGGGAGGGGGTAGCCATTTAAATTCAGATGTTTAAAACCATCAAGAGTACTTCTGCTGGACCTGGTGGCTCAGGGCTGTAATCCTAGCACTCTGAGAGGCCAAAGCAGGTGGATTGCTTAGCTCACGAGTTTGAGACCAGCCTGAGCAAAAGTGAGACTCCATCTCTACTAAAAATAGAAAAACTGAGGCAAGATAATCGATTGAGCCCATGAGTTGAAGGTTGCTGTGAGCTATGATGCCATGGCACTCTACCCAGGGCGACAGCTTGAGACTCTGTTCTTTGAGTGTCCAGAGTCCTTTCTTATTGCAGAGGAAGGTGTGGAGGGAAGGAAGCTAGATTCAGGAAGGAGGGTTTGTGGTAAAAGTCACTGAAGTGAGTTGAAGATAGAACCCAGATACCCTGGCCACCAAGACCTGACTCTTTGTAAACTACTCTCTCTCTTTCTGTGTGACTTGTACAGATGTCAATAAATAAATAAGTAAACCACCCCCTGCCAGGATCTTCCCTTAAGTACTGTTTGGGAAGAAAGTCCCAGAGTCGGAAGGATCCCTAGAGACAGAAAAGAAGGCAGAGGGTTACAGGAGCTAAGAGAGCAGGGAAAGAAGTAGAGAAGAGAAGGGGCGTCCTTCCTTGTGGAGAAGATCAGTTATCTGAAGCTGGTCACTTGCTCAGGCCTGTGCTGCTGATCATGGCTTCCATTACCGGACTCTAACTGAGAAACCAAACCAAGGATTGGGAGTAAGTAATAGTACTGATAACACATATTGAGATGCTTACATAAAGCTGATCAGTATGCTAAGTGCTTTACATTGCCTTATTTTAGGGTGGGTTCTAATTGTTTCCCCACCTTATATGTGAGAAAACCAAGGCACATAAACTTGTCTTAGGTCACACCATTAGTAAGGAGGAGACCCTGCCTGTAAATCCTAACGCCTGGCTCTTGGTTCCTATTATAGTGTTCCCTGAATCTCCTGGGGCCCAGTTTGGCATGAGAGCACAGGGACAGAACTGCCTTTGAATTTCTCCTTTGAGAAAATATGACATGCCGTCTGCTGACCATAACAGGAGATTTTCTGTGGAAACAGTTCATTTAATTTCCATTTCACTGAGTACCTCCGGTACTACAGAGTCTAGAGAGCTACAAAGGTGAATAAATCACAGCCATGCCTTCAAGGGTCTATGGTCTAGTCAGGAGATGGGCATATAACCAGATGATTAAACATAAAGTGTAATAGAGGTATGGGGAAAAAGTGCTGGAAATTTTGACAGCCAACATTTGTTTCATGCTTACTGTTTACATGGTGTTGTCACTTGATTTTTCACCTCATTCCTGTCAAGGAATTAGATTAGAGGTTATTTTCTAATTTTTAGATGAGAATCCAGCCTGAGGAGGCTGTACCCCACACAGGGTCGTAGTTCCTAATGGTCTGGAGACCCTGCTCAGTTTATTTGACCCCCATCCCACAATATTTTCCTTTACATCATTCTGTCTTCCCATCCAAGGATTTCCTAGTACCAAAGTGAATTGGAGCAAACAGCTAAGAGCTGCTGCAGTGTTGTCCTTCCTAAGCTATCAGAGCCTTCTGAATCAGAAAAGCCTGAACAATAACTTTGGGAAGGCACACAGAGACACTGTGGAAAAGTCCCTTCATCCAAAAGGGCACTTCCTTACCTTTTTTAGGCCTCTCAGATTTTTTTAAATTGAATTTAAATATTCAGGATTCAAAAAACAAGCCAAGTTGGCAGCACCTGTAGGGTACCGGCCCCATATACCGAGGATGGTGTGTTCAAACCCAGCCCCAGCCAAACTGCAACAAAAAAATAGCCGGGCATTGTGGCGGGCACCTGTAGTCCCAGCTACTCGGGAAGCTGAGGCAAGAGAATCGCCTAAACCCAGGAGTTGGAGGTTGCTGTGAGCTGTGTGACACCACAGCACTCTACTAAGGGTGATAGAGTGAGACTCTGTCTCAAGGAAAAAAAAAAAAGCCAGAACACCTGTAGCTCAGCGGCCAGGGTGCCAGCCATATATACTGGGGCTGGCAGGTTTGACCAGGCCTGGGCCTGCCAAACAACAATGACAACTAATACCAAAAATAGCCAGGCATTGTGGCAGGCGCCTGTAGTCTCAGCTACTTGGGAGGCTGAGGCAAGAGAATCGCTTAAGCCCAAGAGATTGAGGTTGCTGTGACACCACAGCACTCTCTACCCAGGATGACATAGTGAAACTGTCTCAGAAAAGCCAAGAATCAGTGAGAAAGAACAGTTGGAACTGATTTACTCCAGAGTCTCTCAACAGTAGCATTTGTTGTGTGGGGCTGTCCTCTACATTGTAGGATGTTTAGCACATTCCTGGCTTCTGCCCACGAGATGCCAGTAGCCTCTCCCCATAGTTGTGACAACCAAGAATGCCTCCAGACTTTACCGAATGTCCTAGGATGCAAAATCATTGCTGGTTTGAGAACCATAGGTTTAGACCAAAGAACATTTCAGCAGTCGACAGCATGGCTATCTGCGGACGAAAGGAGGGAACCCAGGACAAAGCTATGGAATATATCTCTCTTAACCTGGGAGGATGGCCACTTGGGGACCGGGACCTGCCAAAATTGTAAACAAAACTTTGTGTTATGCGTGTGGACAGTTTGCTGAAGAGAAAGAGTCAGACAGCTGGTGCCCTGGAGTGTGTTGAGGAGGCCAGGAGTTGGGGTGATGGGCACTTTGGTTTTTGCTCCTGAGGTTGGGCAGGAATCTGAAATAAAAATGCAAGAAAGGTGAACACTGATCAGCAGGGAGATCTCTCATATTCCTTTCCTTAAAAGGATACTGGATTATAAATTTAAAAAACAGGCCAAGTACAGTCAAGCCTGTAATCCCAGCACCCTGGGAGGCTGAGGCAGGTAGACTACTGGAGGTCAGGAGTTGGAGACCACCTTGAGCAAGAGCGAGACCCTGTCTCTAAAAATTGCCGGGTGTTGGGGCAGGCACCTGTAGTTGCAGCTACTGGGGAGACTGAGGCAAGAGAATCACTCGAGCCCAAGAGTTTGAGGTTGCTGTGAGCTGTGACACCATGGCATTACAGCCCAGGAAAACAGAATGAGACTCTGTCTCAAACAAAACAAAACAAAAAACAGCCTGGATTCCAGGTCAGTGTTTGTCAAGGACAGCTGGTGAGACCCCATAGTGTTCTAGGCCTCACTCTCCCAAGTGGTAAGAGTCTGAATTCCAGGTTCCATATTAGTTCACATTAGTTTTGTATCTCTTTGTCTTCTGATTGTCCCCTTGTTTGTTCTTTTGTGAAATTCCTAACACTATATTATAATATCTCAGTGACCAGCTCTCTAGGAGAAAAACCCCAATTTATAATGTTTGCCATTTTCCATGGTATAAATACTCCCACTGTGATTGAAAGTAGATTTGGAGAAAGATGTGTGTGTTTGGCTCTCCGGGAGCCCCTGCTGTAGCACAGCACAGGACACTAAGTGATTTCCAGTGCAAATGATCTTCTCTGTCCTCTCTGTTGTTCAATTACCTGTCTGGCCAGGGTGCCACCTCTCCTGTTAGGTTTATGCTACTGGTTATTCTCTGGTTAGATCAGAGACCTTGTTTTCTTTGCAGTGTGGCACAGTATTTCCCTCAGCAAACACCTTCAGTAAGTTGCCCTGATGGTTTTCAGAGCTGGTTGCGATAGTTCTATAGACAGAGCAGAATGTCATGCACCAGTGGGGAGTCTTCACTTGTGGGCTTCTGGATCCTGAGTGTGGCCTTTTGACTGAATCCAGATTTTACAGAACAAATCATTTTACTAAGGGGATTTGCTTTAAGTTTGGATTCAGTTGAGGGGCATAGTTGGGATCTGGAGGGCCACATGTGGCCTGGAGGCTGCAGACTCCCCACCCCTTTGCTGTCCTTAACCACAGTGCTCATTCTAGCCTGTAATCTTGCTTAGGCTGACCCTGTGACCAGGTGCCTCTCTTGTCCTACCACAACAGGCCCTGTTCCTGCCCTATTTGTCATCAGCAAACCCACTGAAGGCTAAATGTGCCAAGGGATGGGAACGCAAATGACTAAAAGCTAATTTTCAGAGGACATCCATACGCTTCATCTGAACTTCCAGGTCACTGAGTCTGTGCCTATTTTAGGTGCTTACTTAATCAGGGATTGCTGGATATTTTGATTTTTGTTTACATTCATGGCTAGCTGTCCCTCCAATCAGAATTTAACACCTAGAGAACTGGAGTTACATATTAAACTTCCCTCTCCTTCCCCCAAGTAACCTAATATGGTATTAACTGCTTGATGAAGTCTTCCCTAACCTTAACAATCTCCCTTAACTCCAAGTACATGTGGTACTTAGGGTCTAAGCCACATCATTTTATATTAATTTCAACCCTGTCATCATTTGTTAACTCTTCCATATAAAAATAATGCTAACATTTATTAAAAGTTTATTCCATGTGGGTTACTATTGTATTTTGTATTATTTCATGGACTCCTCACAACAGCTTTGAAGTTACATGTGTTATCATCATCCTTGTTTTGCTGATAAATACACTCAGGCACAAGGAAGTTAACTCACCCAGGATCAAAATACTGACAGGAGAGAGAGCTGGGATTTGAACCCAGGTTGCTCAGATTCTTGAACTGTGCTGTTCTGTGTCTTTGAATGCAGTGGTCTTGTCTTAGCAAAAAGCAAGCTCCTTGAGAGCAAAGACCTCGGCTCAACACTTCTTCATATCCTTGAGCACTTAGCTTAGAGTCAGGCTAATATTCAGTGAATAGAATGAATAGGCATCCTCTATGTCAGTGGTTCTCAACTTTCCTAATGCCACAGCCCTTTAATACACTTCTGTGGGTCACGACCCACAGGTTAGGAACCGCTGCTCTATGTATTCAATAAATGTCCTTGACTCTAGTTTTTAAAAACATCTTTTAACCTTATGATTTCTGTCTCGGATCATGTTTTTCTCTCTAGTGCACTTGTTCCAGCTAGACATTACTGTGAAACAGGGACGGGATAAAGTCCGAGAAATGTTTATGAAGAATGCCCATGTCACAGACCCCAGGGTGGTTGATCTCCTGGTCATTAAGGTAACTGATCCTTTTAAACAAGTTAAAAGATCGGCCATCTTGTCTCCAAGTTTAAAAAGCAACTATTGGTTCAGCAACTGTTGCTCTGTGTTTCAGAGCAGTAGTTAACTTGGAAGTTACTACCTGGTTAAATAGATTATAACATTGGTCAAGGGGGCTCGGCGCCTGTAGCTCAGTGGCTAGGGCACCTGCCACATACACCAGGACTGGAGGTTTGAGGCCAGCCTGGGCCTGCCAAACAATGACATCTGCAAAAAAAATAGCTGGGTGTTGTGTTGGGCACCTGTAGTCCCAGCTACTTGGGAGGCTAAGGCAAGAGAATTGTTTAAGCCCAAAAGTTTGAGGTTGCTATGAGCTGTGACACCACGGCACTCTTGAGGGTGACATAGTGAGACTGTCTCAAAAAAAAAGAAAGCTTATTGAGCGGCACCTGTGGCTCAAAGGAGTAGGGTGCTGGCCCCATATACTGGAGGTGGCAGGTTCAAACCCAGGCCCAGCCAAAAAAAAAGATTGTTCAGGGGACTACCCTAAGGCTTGCATTTTATAACTAAAAAAAAAAAAAAAATAGGCTCGGCACCTGTGGCTCAAGTGCCAGCCACATACACCTAAGGTGGCAGGTTCGAATCCAGCCCAGGCCTGCCAAACAACAATGACGGCTGCAACCAAAAAATAGCCGGGCGTTGTGGCAGGTGCCTGTGGTCCCAGCTACTTGGGAGGCAGAGGCAAGAGACTCGCTTGAGCCCAGGAGTTGGAGGTTGCTGTGAGCTGTGATGCTACAGCACTCTACCCAGGGAGACAGCTTGAGGCTGTCTCAAAAAAAAAAAAAATATATATATATATATATATCTATATATCTATCTATATATATATATATATAGGGAGGAATGCATGAACTCTCCTTGAACCTCATCCCTGGAGGTTATAGCCTCACCTGGATGCCAGCTAATAGCTGGAAGAGACAGTTAGGTTGGCTAAGTGCTCTGCAAATGGGGCCAAATCATAGGTCTGATCATGTCTTCCTGGCTAGTCATATTAGCATCGTGGGAGCTTCAGCATGGACCAGTAAATAACATGGAAAAAATGTTAAAGAGAAATGTTAAGCCTGTTAGATTAGGCAGTCATGGAATAGGGGCCTGTTAACTAAGAAGTCAGTCTCCTCTTTAGGCAAGTTAACAACAGGATTAAAGAATTTTTGAAAGGTCTCAGAGATCACTTAGTCCAATCACCTATCACTGTCCAGGTGTAGGAACGTTGTCTAGACAGAGTAATTTCTTGCCCAAGATTATTCATCAAGGCCAGAGAATAGAATGGTGGCCTTTAGTGTAGTCTGACTTGGCCACTTTGACTGACAACCCATCCCCTTACTTTTGCAGGGAAAGATGGAACTGGAAGAAACAATTAAAGTATGGAAGCAGCGGACACATATTATGAGGTTCTTCCATGAAACAGAGTCACCAAGGCCAAAGGATTTTCTGTCCAAGTTCTATATGGGCCATGATCCATGAGGTGGAAAGGCGCCTGTTGATGTTTCATTATTTTAGAGCACAAATAAACTATTACAGTGGTCACTTCATGATAGAATTTTGTTAGTGAACCAGTTTTCTGCAGCCTCTCTTTTTGCCTGAACAAGTGGGGTCTTGGTATACACACCACCTATTCTTTTCCCTTTTCTTGAAGTGTGATGTTTGCTGTAAGTTAAATTGGATTCTCTTTCTTAGAGCCTTGCCTGTCGGTAAACAGGAAGGAATGAGGCCATCTGCTCAGAAACTGTCACAGTGGATATGGGGCTAGAGGACTTTGTTAGTTTACTTATGTTTCCACAGCTTCCAAATTGGACACCTTAGTCTCAGGGCACAGATTATCCCGTTTATTATTATTTTTTTGGCCGGGACTGGGTTTGAACCCGCCACCTCCAGCATATGGAGCCGGTGCCCTACTCCTAGAGCCACAGGTACCACCCCAGATTATCCAAAATTAATTAGCTCTTGCTGGGATCAGAGCAGCACTAACAGGCACAGAAGGAGAGCTGGCAAGATGGGCTAGTTTTCCCTGGGTTCTGGAGAGAATGGTTCCTCAGAGGTGTAGCCCCTTTATTTGCAACAGGCACCAGTCCATAAAATGAAATTACTTTCCTTCTAGTCAGGGGACACACAGAAATATTCCTGTTTTTGCAAACTTTGTTGTGGCTCTACCGTAATAGAAGAATAAATGTCAAGTCAGGTTTAAGAACTGATCTCTTTTCTTTGGAGGTAATCTCTGTTCCTTCCCTGGGCAGTCCAAATGCTGAGGGAAAGGGTTCAGGATCTATTGACATGCTTGTTTTGAGGATTCCCAAACCTTTCAACACCCTGCATTCCTTTTATCATCTATTCACCTAAGGAATATGAGGAAAACTTTTCTATTCACTCAACAATCAATGTAAATGTGTGGGGGGTCTCTCGCCACATGAGGCAAGCAATTCTGCAGCAGACACCAGCTGGCTATCTTTCAAATGAATTCTGACAGTGTCTACTTGGAGAGTGTCACATCATGACTATCCCCCACTTTGAGACACTCATGGCAAGCTGGAGCCTCCATAACTTCTGATCAGCTGGCTTCAACTTGGGGTTCCTGTGACCGCCCCCCTTTAAATGTGATTTGCTAGAGCAGCTCACAACTCTCAGAAACATGGGCAGGGGGTCAAACCTTTTTTCTCTGCCATAAAATTGAAAGAGTTGTCCCGAGTCACATGTTAAATACACAAACACTAATGACAGCTGATGAGGAAAAAACGTCTGTGCATAATTTTTGTGATACCCAACACCACAGATAAAAAAACTCATAATCTACATATGGCCTGTGAGCTGCAGGTTCCCTACAGGTATCCCCTGTAAGGATATCACAAAGGATATAGATGAAGAGATGTATAGGGCAAGGTATAGGGTAAGGGGCAGTTTCCATGCCCTCCTGGCTGGTGCACCACTCTCCAGCAACTTCATGTTCAGCTATCTGGAGGCTCTCCTTGGGTCTTTTATTGATGTTACATTGGATAGGCATGATTAAAGCACGGACAACCATGTAGACATAGACATGTTCATACAAAAAGGGAATGATTTAATGGTAATAGACTTGAGTAGGAAAAGCCTTTCTATTCAGATTTTTTCTTGGGCTTTCTGTGTGGTGTCAATTCTTCCCAGCCATGGTGGAAGAAGAAATGGGGATCTTAATGACCTACCATCAGACAAGGTAGGTCAGAGAATTTCTTTAGGGACAGCTCCAGACAAAGGCAAGGGAAGATTAGAGTCTGTTTTCAACTGCTATGGCCTACCCTGCGGAGGAAAAGGAGCAGGTGAAAGGAAGAAGTGATCTGCTGTTTCCTGAAGCTGCTTCTGAGTGCCCCAACATTGTAACAAAAGACAGTGACAAGGGCTAGGGGAGATATGAGCCAGGAACTGTGGATGAAAACCAACGTATACATGTTATAATTATCAACAAACCCAAGTTTTGAAAGAATCATTCTAATGATAGTTAAGTAGTTGTAAGTGAAAAATCAAAGCTCATGATCACTAATTGAGCCAAGATTGCTAAACACAAAGTTCAAGGCTTTAGCAGTCTATGCAGGTTTGTTACGGGAAAAGAGTTTCTGTTGGGCTTTCTAAATAATGAAAATAGGTCCCAGGTCCCCATAATAACCTTTGTGGATCCATAAGGGCTGGGATATCCTGGGTATCAAAGGTGTCTTATGTTTCTCTGATAAAAAAAGGACAACAGAGACAAAAAAACTACAGCAACTAGAGCCTGCTCATACTGAGACACTCCAGCTGCCACTCAGTCATACGTAGCTGATGTTTACTACATTTATTCATATTTGATTGCTTGTTTTTCCAGTGCTCAGTAGACAGCACATTTCAAGGGAACCTCCAGGATAGGGGCTATGGTCGCGGACCATGCAGGAGGCTTCACTGGATGGGGGAGGCTGAGGGCTTTCCCTTGACCCTTCTGACAGGGAAGGAAAGGCTGAGAGCCTCACCATTTGTTTAGTGCCTTCTCCATTCTGTACTTGCTCCATGCCCTGGAAGAAAGGAAAGCAGCAGTGAACTGGGCAATACAGCAGTCCTCCATCCATATCCTGAAAGAGAATTCCACAAAGTAGTTTTACCCAACATGGCAAGAAAAAGGCAGCTATGAGTACATCTGGTTATTTACTGGGTATTCACCACAGGTCAGGCACTGGGGTCCTACGTGTATAAAAAAAAACCTGTTCCCTGCCAGCAAACAGCTCATAGTCTAGTAGAATTTTGGCGTATGTTTAAGCACATAACATGGAGCGTTTTAAGAGTTACCGGTCACTCACAGGAAGAACAGTCTCTTTCAAATGAAGGGATGAAAAGACCAAAGACATCGAGACCGGGACAGTGGCTTATGACTATAAATGCTAGCACTTTGGGAGGCCAAGGTAGGAGGATCACTTGGGGTCAGGAATTTGGGACCAGACTCAGCAACATAGTGAAACCTCATCTCTACAAAAAATTAAAAAATTACTTGGGTATGATGGCATGCTCTTGTACTCCTAGCTAGATGGGAAGACTGCTGGAGCCCAGGAGTTGAAAGTTATAGTGATATATGACCATGCCACTACATTCCAGCTTAGGCAACAGAGCAAGATCTTATCTCAAAAAACCATGGAAAAATGGGTAGAATTAAAATACAAGAACATTGGGAAAGAGCCCTCTGTGGGAGGACAATGAGTCAATGCTTGAGGTTGAATAAAAGTGTGGGTAATTTAAGAAATGGTGACTATTAAGGATAGGTACGTGAGTAGGAATATAGAAGATGAGATTGGATAAGAAGTGTGAGCAAGCCAGGTGCAAGGGCTGACACCTGTAATCCTAGCACTCTAGGAGGCTAAGGTGGGTGGATCACCTAAGCTTAGGAGTTCAAAACCAGCCTGAGCAAGAGGGAGACCCTGTCTTTACTAAAAGTAGAAAAACTAGTCAGGGGTAGTAGTGGATGCCTGTAGTTCCAACTACTTGGGAGGCTGAGGCGGAAGGATCACTTCAAACCAAGAGTTTGGGGTTACTGCGACCAAGGTGAGATTCTTTCTCAAAAAACAAAAACAAAAACAAAAACAAAAAACAAATGTGTGAACAGATTATGGCAAGCCTTGAATGCCAGGCTAAGGAGTCAAGAGTAACCTTATCTACGACAGTAATCCTGCCACACAGCATATATTAGAACACAGAAAGTTGAATGGGAAGAGGATGGGAACTCCTGGTTCCAGGGTCTGTGAGCAGTGTATGAACCAGACTGTGCTGTCCATGTACAGGTTGTACCGGTGGGGAGCTTGGTAATTAGAGCTCACTGGGGAGGACTTGCAGTTTCTAAATTTCAATATGGGAACTGCTGAAATGCTGGTGGTGGTGGGTGTGTAAGGCATATTAAATGGTCAAGAAAATGTGTGGATTGATTGAATGAGGGTATATCAACTTAGTTGGAAGAGATCTCAGTGAACATGTAAGTCAACAAACTAGTTACTCTCAGCCAACACAGGGAAAAAGCAAAATAAAAACATAAGCCACCAAGTGAGTCAATTCATTAAAGCCTCTGCCCCAGTGTGTAACGCTTCTCCCAGGCCAGACAGTATCATAGGTCAGATGCTCCACCCTGCCTCCTGCTCCTGCTGCTCCTGGTCCATCTAGGGGTAAAGCAATCTTACCTGTTAATCATCATCATCATCATCCTCTGGGACAAAAATGTCATGTTCCTCAAGTAGAGCAGCAAAGTTCTTGCTAATGAGCGTTCCAACATAGAGAAAGGGGATCACAATGGAGAACACGCGGAGAAGGCCGAAGGACATCTGCAGAAGGTCAGAGTGGTGGATGTGAGCTCCAGAGTCCACTTGGCAGGACCATAGAAGGCCTGGCCCTCTCGTGCACATTCACTTCTGTGGAGCCCAGACCAAATGTAAGCAACTGAATTTTTCAAAGTCATTGAAATAATTCAGAGCAAGAAAAATAATTAGAAAAGGAGATATGGTAATTGTTATGGCTATGAAAGTGGATGCTGAACAGTACAAGGCACTCCAGACATCTAAAAGTTAAGGTACAACCTGCTACAGACAAACAGGTGAGAAAGTAAGAGGGATGGATTATGGGAAGCTCTACTTAAGACACTAAATACAAGATGGATTACAGAGAGATGCACAGTGAAGGCCTATCCCATACAGTTAATTAAGTAACAGGTTTCCTGACACCTGAGAAATTTGATTTCACCACATTAAATTTTACAAATAGGTGTGTTTGCAAGTGGGCACATCTTTACACTGTAAGACTATTTACATGGACTGGGGAAATGTCAGTAAAATCTCACCATTATTTCCTCCTATTTTCCTGGAGTTCAGAAAAGATTTTTAGCTGCACCTTTTTATTAGGCAGCTCTTTCCCAAGCATGGATCATGCACCTTCTTTTCTAGCTTGCTGTGAAAGCACCCCGCAGTCAGTTCTGTCAGTTAGCATAGGCCAGACGAGCTTTAAAAGAATTTTTTAACTCCCACACAGCTTTGCAGTCAAAAAGCAAACTTTTGTTTGATACAAGAAACTATTTCCATTTTCCTCAGAAAAGAACTCAAAGGTACTGAGGGCACGTGATAGCATCCGGAAGTGGAAAATAATGGGACCTGCACCCCAAACCACCAGGATGCCAAGACCCAATTCAGCAGCTCGCCCCGATACTGACTTCACTGCTCTGGCCCCTAATTCTTCAGTTATAAAAACAGTGATTTAATAATTTCCTGCACCTCTCTCGGGACTGCATATCCCGTGAATTAAATACCAAGCGACAACTCATAAAAAGATAAAGTCCTTCCCACATACCCTTTATTTACAAAATCCTTTCACAATTATTTCATTACATCAACTGTACGATGCAGAGATTACTTGTCCAAATTACATCACTTATCGAAACTGGACGCACAAAGCCGAGTCTTATGAGAAACTACTGCAAAATGCCATCTTTCTCGCTTTTGCCCCCATCTTCTGTCCCCCAGCACCCAGCTCAACACTGGGTTCTAACCGACCACTTCGCTAATAATCAACATTAGCGCAAAAATTTGTCTTCGGTCCGCCTCGCAGTCTAAGACGATCGTACGATTGGCCTCTACTCCCGTCAATCAGCGTCGGCCCGCCTCGCACGCCCCTCAACAATTGGCCTCGGCCCCTTCGCCCCGCCTCCAAGCAGACACTCACTTTCACCGGTTTGGGCAAAATGGCGCCGCTGCGGGTAACGATGACTGACCTCGACGGCACCAAGTTCTGACCTGAGCCGCCGGCATTGCCACGTTTCCTCAAGTTTGGCCCACCCCAGAAAGCTCGGGATCGGACGGGTCCCAGTGCTAGCCAGCGAGCCGCTCCGGACGCCATCTCCCAGCTTCGCCCCAACCCAAACACCCGGACCCCACGGAACGAAGCCGGTGCGGCCCTCAGGAAGAACGCCGTCTCAAGCCTCGCGAGGCTTTTGGAGCACCCGAGAAGCCCAGCCCTCACACTTGCGCAGTGGCCGCAGTTCCTGCGGCGTTGAGAGCTTGTTACCGCCCGACATGGTGACGTCACCAGACCGAACCCGACCCCACTTCTCCCTTCCTTCCGGGTTTCAGTGGGCGGGGCCGCAACCCCCGGGTGGGCCGAGTGAAGACTTGTCATTGTTGCTACACCCAGTACCGCTGGGCTGCTGGGGACGGCGTCAGGGGATGGTTGAAATAAACCTAAGGGCCCGTTATGAGTAATAGTAAAAAAAACCCTTTATTCAGTGTTTAATCGTATACAAAAAACTGTGATAATAAGAAAGATAAATGCTGTAGTATCTGTATATAAAGTGCAGTGGCTATGGGACTGGGAAACAGGATGAGGGAACAGCCCTGGGTAGCATCTCAACCTGCTGAGGATGAGACTCAGCTTCTTTCTGTCTGTGGCGTAATTGTTTCTTGGTTTGCCCAAGGCCCGGTTAAGGGAAAGAGAGACTACTACGAAGGGGCAGATTCAACCAAGCTCTGCATCTTCCCACCAGCCACTGCTGCCACACCCCTAGGTTATCAGCTGGTCTAGCCTCCGGCCCTTTGTAACCCCAGCACTCTGGGTGGCCTGTCTCCATAAAAAAGAAAAATAATAAACTAGCCAACCTATAGTTCTAGCTCCTTTGGAGACAGGAGGATTGCTTGAGCTCAGAAGTTCCAGTCTGCAGTGAGCTATGATCACACCACTGCACTCCAGCCTTTGTGACAGAGCAAAACTCTGCCTAAAAAAAAAAAAAGAAAGAAAAAGAAAACAGTTGTCAGGATGCTGGGAGACTAGCCATGAGGTTTGGGCAAGTTAATCTGATGGCAAGCAGGACTGTGAAAGAGTTCTAGATGACCTCACTAGCAGTTTCAGGAGCAGGAGCATTCTTGATGGAAGCCCAGCCCGGAGATAAGAATTACCACAAGGTTCCAGGAATCCTGTGTCGAAGCTCCTGGGATACCTAGGACTGAGAAGCAAAGTACCAAACTGGGTTTCCCCAGGGAATCATACTGCCTGTCCACCTCTTCTTTAGCTTCTCACTTGGCATCTCCAGGAACTGGTTGCTGAGGACACAGTACAGGAGGGATTTCTGCTGACATATAAAAGCTACCAGCCCCTCCCGGGCCAATGTCTAGCACCATCTGTTGACAGGGCAGCCAGGGACAGAGGATGGGGACCCCAACACTTTCTGAGAAGAATAAATCCCTCTTTATTGGCCAAAGGCCCTGTCCCTCCAAAGCAGTGGTTCTCAACCTTCCTAATGCCTGTAATTATGCCTAATGTTACAAAGGGCTTGCAACCCACAGGTTGAGAACCACTGCTCCAAAGGGTCCTATCCAAACTGTAGAGTGGGGGTCCCATGCCCAATCTTCCCACCCCTCTCAGGAAGAGCTGGGCCCCAGAAACCTCCATGACACACTAAATCCATCTTCTCTGACAATGTCAACCCCTCAGCTAACCTCTGGTATTTAAAAGACACAATATTCCCCATGTTGGAAATGATAGCTATAGAATCTGTTGTCAAAGGTAAAACAACCCATGGCGATGTAACAGCTCCCACTTCCTCTATTTCAGTGACATCCCCCAAGGAGGGGCAGTCCAGCATAGTCAAGAGACTCGGATTTTTTTTTTTTTTTTTTGCAGTTTTTGGCCGTGATCGGGTTCGAACCTGCCACCCCCAGTATGTGGGGCTGGCACCGGAGACTTGGCTCTTGCTCTGTGACTCTGAGCAAGCTACCTATCCTCTCTGTCTCAGGAAAGAGGATGAAAGTCATGATTCCTCAGTCCCCTCCAGGTACAAGGTTGGGTCTAGAACCTGGAGATTCCCTAAAATACATGGAAAGAAACACCCCCAAAAGCAACCTTGGAAATGAGTAAACATTTAACTCTAGAAAAAGCACTGGCCCTGGTGTCCTGACCAGCAGGACAGAGGCAAAACTAGAAGGGCCCAGGTTTAGGACCTATCCTGTTCTGCTTGTTCCCCATATTCTGCCTGGCTTCCCTGGGTCCTCTGCTGCCATCTCCGCCGTAGTGCCACAATCTCCTGGCCATACCACTCATGCAGGGTGGAAAAGCAGGAGGTCTCAGGGGACACAGGGCTCTGCCCACTGCCTAAGAGGAGGTTGGCAGGGCCCTGCAACACCCCCTCTGCCAACGCTCGCCCTGCCCACCTACTGCCCCCTTCTTCACCTAAGCCCACAGGGCTATAGTCTCTGGGAAGGGAGTGGCCGTTCTCCAGGCCCAGAGACCAATAGTCAAGAGCCTGGGGCTTACAGCGGTTAGCAACAGCCTTGCAGGATGAGTGTCGTTGCAAGGCCAGGCTCCGGCGGGCTTCCTGCAACTGGCTCTCCAGCTCCCGTACCACCAGGCGCATATAGCCAAAACTTGCCCGGGACAGTGCCTTTACCCAAGCCTCCTGGGCCACTGGCCCATCTGCTGCCAACAGGTGTGGACGCACTCCAGGAGCATCAAAGCAGATGGCGAAGGCAAACTCCTCAGGTGCTGGAGCTTCAGCCAGCTCCACTGTGCAGCCCTCTAGCACCACCAGGCTCAGTGGGGCCCGGCCCTCGCGACTCTCAAAGGAGAACAGCAGGTTGCCCTTGAGAACAAACCAGCATCTTCGGCCAGTGCCACTGGGGGTAGGTGGGGTTCCTGGGCCCCCCCAAGTGCGCAGGAAGCCTGTGTGGTCCGCTGGGGAGTCGCTCAGTGCATAGTGGGCTACACTTCTCTCATTCAACTTCATGGCTTCCACAATAACTGTCAAGTGAGAGATGTGACAGAGAATTAGAGGGAGGCAGCCCCTGTGGGAAAGAACGTTGGCTTCGGAGGAGACCTGGACCAGAGACCTGGGCCCCCACCCTGCAGCCCCTACTCACTTGCTGTGTCCCTGAGGCTCTTAGTGTCTTCATCGGTGAAATGGGCTGGTCTTTCCTTCCTTTTCTCTCAAAGGGACCTTGTGAGGAACATGCAAAAACTGGATATCAGAGGACACAGAGAAAAGGATAATGTGATTGTATCAGACCAGGAAGTATAGTAGGACCCTGACACAACTTTTTATTTTATTTTATTTTTTGAGACAAGAGTCTCACTTTGTCGCCTTGGGTAGAGTGCTGTCGTGTCACAGCTCACAGCAACCTCAAACTCTTGGGCTTAAGCAATTCTCTTATCTCAGCCTCCAAGTAGCTGAACCTAAAGGCGTCCACCACAATGCCCAGCTATTTTTTAGATATGGAGGTCTCCGTATGGCTCAGGCTGGTTTCGAACATGAGCCACTGCACCCAGCCTGGACACAGCTTTTTAAAATCCAAAGAAATACTGGGGAGGAGAGAGAGGAAAGTGGGGGGAGGAGGATCAGCATGCTCTCACCTAAGGGAAACAATGTAAGTGTCTACAGCACATCCCCTGGGTGAAGGGCTCTACTATAACTTGGACCTTACCTAACAAACACAAACAATATTACCCAGTCATTGTACCATCATATTAATCTGAAATAAATTAATTAATTAAAATAAAATAAATAAAATCCAAGGAAATAGACCCCAGCTGGGCTGACATGGACCCCAAACCCATAGAAAACATTGTATCTAAACTATCCCCTAATAATAATCTAAGAGTTCTCAGTTCCAACTCTGAGACCAAACCTCCAGGGTTTCTATGACCCACTGGGCCTCTAATGGCCTTTCATTTGTATATGGCATAGTTGAATCTTGCCAACCTGAAAGCAGACACTGAGACACAAAATGTAACTTTAAAGAGTTTACTTGAGTCAAAATGAAGACAGCTGCCCAGGACACACACACTTCCAAGTTGCCTTGAGGAGGGCTCCACCTTTGCTACAGCAGGTTTTTTTTTGTTTGTTTTTTGTTGTCTTTTTTTTTTTTTTTTTTTTTAAAGATAAAGTCTTACTCTATTGCCCCAGGCTAGAGTTAAGGTCAGTTCAAGCACCTTTAAATTCCTTGCCTCAAGCAATCCTCCTTGACTTCCCAAAGCACTAGGATTACAGGTGTGAGCCACTACCTCTAGCCTACCAGCATGTTTTTATTTTATTTATTTATTTATTTTTTTGAGATAGAGTTTCACTATGTTGCCCTTGATAGAGTGCCGCAGCATCACAGCTCACAGCAACCTCTAATTCTTGGGCTTAAGCGATTCTCTTGCTTCAGCCTCCCAAGTAGCTGGGACTACAGGCGCCCACCACAAGGCCTGGCTATTTTTATGTTGTAGTTGCCATTGTTGTTTGGCAGGCCTGGGCTGGGTTTGAACCCAGCCAGCCCCAGTGTATGTGACTTGAGCCCTAGCTGCTGAGCTACAGGCGCCAAGCCTAGAAGCATGTTTTTAAAGGCAAAAAGGAGTAAGAAATGAGATGTTTGACAGAAATTTTCACTGGATAAGATTGATTAGTGATTGATATACATTGTTGAACTCGGGGTACAAACTAATGTGTCCAGCCCATGGTATTTTGTGGCTACTTGCTGTCAGTTAATCTAAAGCCCACCTAGTAACTGGATTCAAGAGGTTAATTATTAGGCCACATATCATGGCACAAACTTGTAGACCCAGCTAGGAGGTCAGGGGCAAGGTGGGAGGATTCTTTTGAGCCTAGGACTTTGAAGTAAGCTTGGGTGACTTCACTATACTCTACCCAAAACAAAGGTAATTATTTAGATAAGAGGATAGTGAGACTTGACTGTTTTCTTATTTCAATGCCTGTTTGGGGCTAAGAATTCAAGGAGGCTCAAATTCCTCTGATAAATGGTCCCATGGTAGCTCAGTGGGTAGGGTGCTGGCCACATACACAAAGCATGGTGAGTTTGAATCCTGCTGGGGCCTGCTAAAACAACAATGACAACCGCAACAACAACCAAAACTAGCCCAGTGTTTGGCAGCACCTGTGGTCCCAGCTACTTGGGAGGCTGAAGCAAGAGAATTGCTTAAGCCCAAGAGTTTGAGGTTGCTGTGAGCTGTGATACCATGACATTCTACCCAGGGCGACAGCTTGAGACTCTCTCAAAAACCAAAAAAAGAAAAAAGAAAAAAAATTCCTCAAATAAAGTTTATTTTCTTTCTCAAATTTCAGCCTTAGGGGCCAGGCTGGTGCGAGGCAGTCTTGCTCTGCCTTATGAAAGCTCAGATGAGCACCCACTCTCTAAACAAGAGTGTGGCGCAAACACAGGGTATGGCTGAGAAGGACCAACCACAGTCACTGAATGTAGATGCCCCAGGGAGCATAAAAGGCAACTGACCTATCTTCCTAACTCATAGAAAATTAGGACCCAGAGCAGGGAAGGGAACTTGCCCAAGGTCACCCTGGCTAGTGAGAACAGCTTGGCCTCCCAGTTCCCTCACATTTTCTCGGGGATGTCTTGCCCCCACTTGACCTACTTATCAACAGGGCTCCTGGGGGAGGGCAGGAAACTTCTATCTGGCCACACAGCTCAGCCCTTTGACCACATGGTTTGCATGGAACCTGCAAAAAATAATTTTCAAATACAGTCAAATCCTAAAGAATGAGAACCCCAACTCCTTTTCTGGGGCCCAATGAAACACCACTACCTCCACCAGGAAGCCTTCCTTGATCCCTGATAATCCCCCCACCCATCTACCCAGGCCAGGCACCCATAAGCTTCTTAAAGGGCTGGGTCCCCTTGTCTTGACCATTACTGCTCAGAACTCATCTCCCTGCCCCCTGAAGCTAGGTCAGAGGCAGGTACCCTCACAGCTTCCAGTTTTGTTTTGTTTTGTTTTTTTGTAGAGACAGAGTCTCACTTTTTCACCCTCGGTAGAGTGCAGCGGAGTCGCTCCAGCAACCTCCAACTCCTGGGCTTAGGCAATTCTTCTGCCTCAGCCTCCCAAGTAGCTGGGACTACAGGCGCCTGCCACAACGCCCAGCTATTTTTTGTTGCAGTTTGGCCGGGGCTGGGTTTGAACCCGTCACCCTTGGTATATGGGGCCGGCGCCTTACTCACTGAGCCACAGGCGCCTCCCACAGCTTCCAGTTTTTCCCTTCTAGCACTTGCTAGTTTATTTGTGGGCTTCAAGTTAAGTGACCTAATCCAGGAGGTCTTCCCTGATCACCGTATCTAAGGCAGCTCTGACCACCAAGGTGGCCTGACCTAAGGTGACCTGCTCAGCTGTACTCTGGCTTTGGGTTAGTTTCCTTTATGGCTTGAAGATGTTGTTGGTGTTTACAAGAGTGTTCCATCCCCAGAATGTCTAGGGTGAGACTCAGCTTGGCTCAGCAAGCTCTCAATAATCCCAGCAGTGTTCAGGGCTCAAAGAGGCCCCCAGGAAGTAGTTGGGGATATATCTGCCAACAAAACAAAGTTCCCTCCCTGCCTAACTCTACTTTGGGGCAGGAGGAGAGAGATGCACTGTAAGCAAACAAAACAAATAAAAAACCGATAATGAGGGCTATGGAGAGAAATAAGCCAGGCCCTGGGACGGAGGGAGGGGGGCAGGCCATTCCAGAGGGACAGCCCCAAAAGGGGGAAGAGACTATCTCAGATGTTTGCCCAACAAATGGCCTCACTGTTCCTCCCAAGCCAAGCGCTGAGACACTGGGAAGGGGGGCTCCCTCGTCTCTACCAGTAGGGATGCCGGCCCGGATGGTACCCACGGCCTCCGAGTCTTCCTGGAGACTCGAGTCTTTTGTTGGAAGAAAGTTGGGATGGGGGCGTGTGACCGCCCGGCCAGCAGTGGGTCCCAACCTGGCTGTCGCCGTCAAACAGGGGTCACCTCGGCCAGGGTCTTCCACACCGCGTATTCAGGGTGCAGGTTGCTGCCTCGGTTTCCCCGTCCCCGCGGTGGGGCTCTTCCCGCCAAGTCCCCGCGGCCACGCCTTCCCCGGGGCCACCTCCTCCCGGAATCCGCCGGGCCGGCTCTCACCTCCCGCCGCCAGTGGCGCCAATGCCCAGGAGGGCAGTCCGCGGGGTGGGTTGCTGCCCGGCCTGGGGCCGATCCCCGCGCCTCCGCCGCCTGAGCCGCCAACGTGGCCGCGGGAACCGAGAGACCCCGCCCGGGAGCTCGGGTTACTGCCCCCGCCCTTCCCCGCCCAGTACTCACTTATCCACGCAGTCGCTTCTGGGTCCACAAGGGAGGGAAACTGAGGCCCAAGAGGGTGGTGACCTGCTCGAACTACAGAGCTGGTCAGTGCAGGACAGATCCCCACCTCCCAGGCTATTCGCTGGTCTTGGACCCAACCCGCCGCAGGACTCAGTCCTTCTCCTTGCCCTGGGGTCCCCTTCTTCCCTTTCTCGTTGCCCAGCCCACTTCTCCCTCAGAGCCAAGCCAGGCGCCTCCTAAGGGCGGGCACCTATACAGCCCGCTAGGCCCCAGGGGTTAGCCGACCTTTCCCGGGGGGGAATTATCCATTTCTGCCTCTGCCACCCTGTCCTGAAACCCACCTGCGGCCTCCAGGCTCTGCCTGGCGTGGGTCCACAGGTAGGACTGCAGGGGAGGGCAGCAGGAACCCACAACCAAACCCGAAAGTCTAGAGTTTCCCTGAAGGCTCTTGTTGGTTCCCACCTCAAAGCCTTTGGATGCCCTTCCTTCTCACCCTCACCCCAGCTCTGCTCTTCAGGGCTCCTTCACACCACTTGAGTCTCAGCTCAGCTGTCCCCTCCCTGACAATGGAAGGCACAGTAGCTGCCCTTGTGTCTCTACCACATCTCCTGGCTTGTATTTCCATTTCTATCAAACCCACCGCTATATAATAAACATCTCTGCAATCAGGCCTTTATTTCCTGTTCACTGTTTGTCTGTCCCCCTAAATCTATTCAATTGATATTAATAGCATAAAATGCAATAAATGTGTTAAGCGGTAATTAGTGCCATGGAAGAAATAGAGCAGGGAGAGGTGGGGAGATTATTATATTAAATGAAATGGTCAGAGTAGGTCTCACTGGGAAGGTGACATTGGACAAAAACTTGAAA